TAACCGAACTTGACGATTTCTCGAATTCTACATCCAATGCCTCAAATACTGCAAAATAAGGAGAAGAAATAGCGTAGATATAAGTTCCTGTCATCCACGATGCATGAAGAATGTCAAAGGCTTTTCCATTTTGATCCAGCCTTGCGTTTTTGCAAATTTGATACTTTCGTTTGTAAAATCAAGGTCCCTGAGATCCTTGATATCAACGCAAATAGCAGAATCAATGGGAACCAATTTTCCATAAGAAAGTCCTGTTGTCCTTCCTACTTTAAATTAATCTCATCAATGCTATCAAAATCTTCATATATAAAAACCATTCAGATAGGTGTTTGTAGGAAGTTTTTCTTTTTAAAAGCACTATGAAGAAATTGCATATTCATTTGGACATAATGTACGACTTTGTTTGTAAAATCACAAAATGCAGCATCAACACCAAAGTCCTTTGATGCATCTTGGAGGAAACTTGCTGCACATCCCACGCTTATAGCACGTTAGGATAGAATTCTGTTTGCTCTTCGATAGCAATATACGACATTTCAGAGATTTTTTGGAACCTTTTATTTGTTATTGCCATATTAACAAATAAATATTTCAGTCTTCATGCGAAGGCTGATATATCATGACATCCGTTCCAGAACTCGATACACCAAACTTGCATTCATGATCACATGAAAGAATACCTATCTTTTGTGAATATTTGTCACGAACGACAGCATAACATTCTCCTGATAAACTTTACAATAACTCGCACTAAAACCATAGGGAGTTGCAACACAAGCCTCGACAACATCTACCGAATATCCACGAATCTCTTTTGGGAATAATCCACCACATCCCTCGACGTAGAATGTTTTTCTGACGAACATAATATTAATAGAAGGTTTTTCGGTAAACTTACCTTTAGTTCACTTAATCCAGTGCTCATACCGACCAGATTATAATGCGCTTATGAAATGATGGTCCCAATTCATTGTTTAATGCCTCATCAAAAGCCTTCTGTAAATCTTGTGGACCTTTTTCGAGGATCATGGGCTTTGTGGTGGAATCTCAGCGTTATTAAACCCTTTTTCTTCTGGTATAAAGCGAATTGTGTCGCAAATTCTTTGATAATTCATATCATTAAGTTGCTAAAATCATCGGGAATAGGTTTTCATTTGATATTAATCCTCTTGCTGCTTATTGAATTCTGTAAACGTATGATATTTTCCAACTTTTGTACAAAGTTGACCTTCACATAAAGTTGCTTGAGCTTATGATCTTTGCCTACGTATTCTACATTTCTCATGCAAAAGCCCTAAATCACATAAAAGATCATGTGGTCAAGGTGTTCACAGGGTTTGTCAAGTTGATCATCATCGCATTTATTTGATTCTTTATCACTATTTATGCGAATTTGAATCTTAAGGCTTTGTGCATTGTATCCATGAGACTTTTCTTCTTAATAGCTTCCTTATACAGTAGTCTAGTCTTATTTCTATGGAAAAACGACGTCAAATTTAATTTGGTTGATAAAATAAATAGGTTATTTGTCACGTGATAATTAATTTAAATTTATATAGTGAGTACACGTGAATAATCGGTGTAATTCAGTTATGAGCAGAAGAGAAGTTACTTTTTTTTAAACACATTTTACTTAAAATAGCTAATAGTTTTAATGAACACCTTAAATAACCCAATAGGCTGTTAGCAATTGTATGTTGACTATTCAGGCGGTTCATAATTAATTGTCTTTTAATTGATAAGATCAAGATCAGGATTATTTCTACTTAAATTTTAAATA